CGCCCCAGCAAGATTGTCTCGACTCCCTATTTAGAAGTTCACAGTCAATATTGTCTTCTACTACATTTTCCATGTATTTCCGAGCAAGTGCAGGTTGCTTAGGACAAGTTTTTAGTAACATCTTAACTACAGGGTTTAAGCCCTTTATACAGAAAGGATGGTACAGAATTCCACCAGATTACTCACATGATGGGCTGGGGGTGATAAAATAATATCAAAAAATTATCCACCCACCCTATGTTGTGTGTTGTCTGGCAAATTCTGTGCAATATTCTTCTGTATTTGTAGCTCTGCTGTAACTACAGTTGCTACTTTGGAAATAAGGATCGAAAAATTATTATTTAAAATTTTAATAATCACAATATCAGTACAAAACCACGTGCAACGCACATATTCCTACCTAGCCCTACTTAAAAACAAGCAAATAATTATTACATAAGTTATTAATCATCTTTATTTAATTGTTCTCAAACATTATTTATGTTGATATGATAATTTTTTGTCAGACATGTTTTAAGTAATATTATTACAAATATCTAAAACAATATTTCTTTTAACTAACAACCAATGCTCACATCCAAGACCATAAAATGTAAATCTTAATAGCAAGCATTTTGCTGAGTAAATCAATGTTCGTTGTGCAAATTAAATTGTTTCATTTATGTAACATTCTAATAGTTCCATAAGTATATCAATAGGTTATTCAGTGTTCACATAAACAGCTTCTTTCGATTTTTCAAATGATAAGAGTAAGCTGGCAGTGGAGTCCTCTCAGGAAAACCCACAATAGAAAAATGCAACAAAATCAATTTGTTAATTCAAAACAGATCTTATTATGAAATAATCACACACTATTCCTATGTTGACTTTTGTATAAGTTGAAATGAGCAAAAATTTAAAGCCTAAGTTGAAATGAGCACGAATTATCAACTCATATTAGGAATTCAACTACTGATATACATGAAAGTCGACGTTTAAGGACAGAACTTATCGTAAAATTGAGGCATGGGATGCTTTCTATTATTTTTTTACTATGCTAACTTGAATCAATCCACCAGGTAGAATATACATACACATAACAAGAAGATTAACAGCACCGTTGAGATTTGAAGTAGAAGATACAGTTTCTTCTTGCCCTTTTTTAACACTAAAGCTAAAGTTAAATGTTATGGAATTTGCATCTTTCACTGAAACGCGAAACTTATATCATCATGGGATCTGTCAAAGACATCCACATGAGAGAGTCAGAGATTATAAAAGTAGATTTGCCTCTCAATTACACCCCAAAGGAGAAATTTTCTAAAGCAATGTGCTGAATAAGATGAAAGGTAGAGAAATATGGTGGAATCAAGAAATAGGATAGGCTGCAGCTTGCAAGAATTACAGAACAGAACTGTTACTGATCAAAAAAATCTAAATCTTGAAAAATCAACAATTCGCCAACTTTTACAAGGAATACTGGTTTGCCAAAACTGAGGCTTTTACTGCATGACTACTTAACATCATAATGAAATGAAAGCATCTCGCTATCGGAGTTACAGGAACCAGGAGAAACTACAATGCTGAAAAAGCAGATCGACACAAAACAAAGATCACAGTGGCAGCACTGTGAAATTAGCTCCAAAATTAGGATGCATGTATGCATCTGGTCCCAATTAAGTCATCTTGGTGAAAATCTAGATCCCTTGGTTGCTTTGGGTAGTCATTACATCTGCTTCGATAGCCCTTTAGTGAGACCTTAAATCCTGAAGATACCGACCCACTTGCTGCGCCCCAATAAACAAGGCATCAGCTGCAAGAAAGAGTCCAACCTGCAATGGACCAACTGGGGCATCTTGATAACTGGGAAAACTGGATCAGAAGGTTGCTAACAATATGAGGAAGGGAAAATTAATTACCAGACGGGCTGAATAAACTAATCTGTAGCCCCAGCCTTCCTTGGCAGCTGCAGCTCTCTGTTGGTCCGTCCAACTAACAAAATACATGGGCGTTAGTGCATTATCAGAATATATCATTACTGTCTCTCAATTGCATTCATTGTAGTCTCGAGTCTATTATTCATGTACCGAGGCAACTATTATACAGAAAAGTATTATATAAATATATGATAGATGACCATGACATGCAATAAATAAATATGTTGCCATTAAAAGAAATTCATTAATACATAAGAGGAAAAGTAGAACTTTCAGAAGGTGGAAGGTAATCCAACAAGATAGTGATGCACTAAGAAGCACAGATATGGATACGTAATTCGAATACGATAGGATACAAGTACGCCAATACGATTTTTTTAAATAAGGATATTGATAAACCCCCAATCAAATATACTTATTCTAGAAGAATCAAGAAGAGTGGGAAGGAGAGAGTTGGTAACAAATTTGGTTAGTTGGGTAGGGTGAGTAGGCAAAATTCTGTTACAAGGGTCTATAAATAGAAATATTGTGGAAGACGATAGCATGCTGAATATTGAGTGTGGAAAGGAATATTGTAGAGTGCATCAGCCCTCTTCAAAGGCTGCCTATCTTTATATTTCTGTCTTTTGAATTTCAATCAATATAATCATCATTTCCATTTTATTTCCTATTGTCTATTTCATTCCAGATTGCTTAGTACTCTAACCTGGGCTGGAACCTTATCCATCTGGTATCAAAGCATCATCCAAAACCTCCACCATGACACTTACCGATAGAGTTGGAGAATTGGAGCAAAGGGTGGATAACAACCATCTTGATCTCCTCGCTAGGCAGCAGGAATTACAACATAGCCTTGAATCCCTCAAGCTGATGCAGACAGGGACATTGGAGAAGATCGACCTGTTGGTGCGAAAATGGAATGAGCAGGAAAAAGACCGGAAGGAGAAGGGGTGGTTACAGAGAAGTCACCCACGGCGTCTGATAATTCGGGAATAACCCAACTCCGACCCAGTGCTAGCCATAACCATGGAGGAGAAACAGTGGGAGAATGGAGAGGTGAAAACCGCACCCGGCGACTGGAAATGCCTGTGTTTGAAGGAGTTGGTCCGGACAATTGGGTATTTAGGGTGGAAAGGTACTTCAGCATCAATCATTTGACGGAAGAAGAGAAGGTAGAGGCAGTGGCAGTATGTTTTGATGGTGAGGCACTAGCATGGTTCCAATGGGAAGAAAAACGCAAACCTATGAACACTTGGGAGGATGTAAAGAAGCGGCTTCTAAGGCGATTCAGGGCCTCACAGGAAGGATCATTGTGTGCCCAATTCCTATCTCTCCGGCAGGAGTCCACAGTAAGGGAATTCCGTCGCCGATTTGAAACTCTCGGTTCGCCGTTGACGGAGATATCTGAGGAGGTGATGGAGTGCAATTTCCTCAACCGGCTTAAGCCAAGTATCAGGGCTGAGGTCCAATTATTGAGACCCATGGGCTTTTAGAGCAAATTATAGAGACAGCCCAAATGGTGGAGGACCGAAATTTGATTACCCAACAAAGCCCAAGCCCGTCTAAGCCCAAGAGCATCCCATATCACAGCCCCAATCCTATGGGAAGATAGCATGGCCTTTAACTCAACAATTGAAGAAAGACAATTTCGGATGGAGGAGGAGGCAGAATCAGCTTTCACACAATTAAAGCGGGCAATGACGACGGAACCAGTATTGGCACTTCCAGATTTTTCACAGCCCTTTGTAATCGAAATAGATGCGTCGGGACAGGGCATGGGGGCTGTTCTGATGCAAAAACAGCGGCCTATTGCTTACTTCAGTCAGGTCCTTCCACCGAGAAGTCAGAACAAATCAGTATATGAAAGGAAACTTATGGCTATTGTGATGGCAGTGCAGAAATGGCGACATTATCTGTTGGGTAGGCGATTTATAGTCAGGACAGATCAGAAAAGCCTAAAATTCCTTCTCGAGCAGCATTTGGTGAATGTAGATTATCATGAGTGACTTACAAAATTGTTGGGAATTGACTTGGAAATTGAATACAAGCCTGGAATGGAAAATAAGGCAGCTGATGTGCTTTTTAGAAAGGGGACAGCTACAACCTTGATGGCTCCGAGTATTTCTTGCAACATTCAGTTAGACGAAGTGAGAAGTTCAGTGGAGGAAGATCATGATCTGGGCCGCATCATCTCCGACTTGAAAGCTGACCCTACTTCTTGTCCTGGTTATGCTCTCGTTCAAGGGGTCCTGCTATACAAAGACAGAATCACTCTTCCCAATGGATCCCATCTTACATTGCTAGCATTACATGAGGGGCATGCCAGTAAAGTGGGAGGCCATGGAGGATTCCTTAAGACTTACAAATGAGTGGCGGCAACCTTCCATTGGATTGGATGAAAAAAGATATCAGGGCCTATGTGTCTGCTTGCGGGATCTGTCAACAACACAAGTACTCCACCTTAGCGCCGACCGGGCTGTTGCAACCACTTCCTATACCCAATCAGGTGTGGGAAGACTTGTCCATGGATTTTATAGAGGGATTACCAAGGTTCGAGGGATTTGATTCAATTCTAGTAGTGGTCGACCGTTTGAGCAAATATGCGCACTTCATTGGACTTAGACATCCCTTTATGGCACCATCGGCAGCAGCCGTATTTGTGAAGGAGATGGTTCGGCTGCATGAAATTCCACTCTCGATCATCTTTGATAGGGATAAGGTGTTCTTGAGTAAATTTTGGTGTGAATTATTCCACCTACAAGGAACCAAATTGAAGTTCAGCTCGGCATATCATCCCCAAACGGACGGGCAAACGGAAGTTATAAATAGAGGAGTGGAGTCCTATTTGCGCTGTTTTTCTTCAGTTAGACCAAAGAAGTGGTACCGATTTCTACCTTGGGCTGAATTTTCATACAATACTTCATTCCATGTGGCTGCTCAGTGTACTCCTTTTCACATAGTCTATGGGCGTGATCCCCCACCTCTGATGCGTTTTGAAAAAGGGACAACAGATGTATCTTCATTGGACCAACAGCGGGCAGAGAGAGATAAACTCTTGGAGGAGCTGAAAATACACCTTAACCGTGCCCAGCAGCAAATGAAGACAGTGGCAGACAAACATAGGAGGGCAGTGGAGTTGACCGCTGGGGATATGGTTTACTTAAAGATGCGGCCTTATCAGCGCAGATCCTTGGCACACCGTCCCAATGAAAAACTTGCCCCTCGTTATTATGGGCCTTTCAAGGTTGTGGCAAAAGTTGAGAAGGTTGCCTATCGATTGGAACTACCGCCCGAAGCACAGATTCACCCTCTGTTTCATGTTTCGCAACTGCGGAAAGCAATAGGGGAGCATAGACTGACCTTTCCTTTACCTCCAAATCTTGGCACAGACTGGGAGTTGATGGTGGAACCTGAGGAAGTCATTGGAGTAAGAAATGCCGCAGGAACAAGTGATGGTCTGGAGGTATTGATCCTTTGGAAAGGATCGTCTCCATTGGAAGCAACTTGGGAGCCTCTTAGTCTTGAGTGTGGAAAGGAATATTGTAGAGTGCATCAGCCCTCTTCAAAGGTTGCCTATCTTTATATTTCTGCCTCTTGAATTTCAATCAATATAATCATCATTTCCATTATATTTCCTATTGTCTATTTCATTCCAGATTGCTCAGTACTCTAATCTGGGCTGGAACCTTATCAGATGTACGGATAAAAATTAAACATAATTTTATTAATATAAAAAAATACAGAAGTATAATAATAAAAATAAAATAAAATATTAAAACATTTTATCTTAATCCTTAATTGTCCAAACTTCATTTTTTTCAATATCAACATCAGCTTCTTTATTATCATTAAAAATAACTCTATCCAACTCTAGTTCATCAAATGATAAATTAGCAATCTCAAACAGTCTAACACCTTCAAAAATATGAAATGAGTCTCCAACAACATTCCACATTTTTTATTCTCCTTTATTCAAAAGATCTAACTTTCATGATAAGTTAATTGTGTATTTTCAATAAATATCATTAATATTAAAATTACATATCCAATATGTTTCGGAAACATATCGAAAATAATTAAAAATATATATATGTATCCGATATGTACCAAAATTTTTAAAAATATAAAGAAATATAAATTAATTAAAAAAATGCATCCGATACATATCAAAGGATATCGAAGAGTATCCAAACTTGGATATGTATCGGTTACAGGTGTGTAATGACACCTGTACTTCTTAGGTTATGCGGCATTGGTGATTACTGATTAGCTAGGCAACTAATGGAAACTACAGGTGTGTAATGACACCTGTACTTCTTAGGTTATGCGGCATTGGTGATTACTGATTAGCTAGGCAACTAATGGAAACTAAAGATGAAAGCCGTCTTCTATAGCATTACAAGGTTCATTAATGGTAGATTGAATACCCAATTATCAAATATGATCTCGAATATGGTAAGATAACTACTTATTATTGAGATCTTGAACATATCAATGTATGAAAAAGGTTCAACTCACTTCCACCTAAACAGTTCATAGATGCTCATGCCCTCTATTAAAGAGGAAGGTCAGATATAATGGGAATTGGGAAAGACCTGAACACCATAATTTTTCAAGTGAAATGTGGGTTGAGACGAAGGTGAAAGAAACTATGTTATTGTTACCCGAGATATTCTGAAAGCCCACCAATTCCTGCAAACTTAAAGGGCTGAGGACCTTCCCTTTCAAGATCCTGCACCAAACAAGAATATATTGCTCCATATACTTCATGGAACAAAAGAAAGAAAAAAGAAAATTGACCAATAAATGTAGGCCAAAGCGCAGAAATTCAACATCTCCGTAGGTACACTCACCTCTTCTTCAGCAGCCTCCAGACCCCCTTGAACCCAGAAAAGGTTTTCATAACCAGCATTGTATAATAGCTCACAAGCTGCAAGGGATCTGCCTGATGGAATACTGGTTCAGAATAAAGTTTTGGAGATAAAACAATCTCTTATTTATGCCATTGTTTGAGCCCCATTCTCAAAAAAACCCATTTTTCCCCAAATTCAATTTCAACTATATATTCTCCCAATAAAATAATTTTGCAAGTAAACCCAAAACGTTTTCCTACTTTTTAATCACACATTCTTCAAAAACATCACGATTGCAAAATCTATTTTTTCAAAAAATGGAGATCAAATAGGGGCATATGCGTATATATATACACATCAAAATTCACTTTTGCTATCTTAAGAATAGGTTTTTTTTTTTTTTTTTTTTTTTTTGGTAGGAAAAATTATATAATGAATCTTAAGAATAGTTACTACCAACAATAATTACTTATGCATTGGGAAAGTAGATTATGGTGGGGTTCTTGGCTTCTTGCCAAATTGAAACATAACATGCACTCTTGATACCAAGTAAGGCACTAATTAATTTTGAGAACACCATAAAAATATAAAAAAAAAAAATTACAGATAAGTACTTTTTATCATTATAACCCATAATAGTATTTCCATTAAGTCCTCAAGTTAAAAATCAGCATTTTGCTTCCAATTTGTACTCAGTTTTATGCACAATGGCCTATTCGAAAGGAGCCTAAACTGATTTGCATCTCAAATAATTCCAAGAAATAGGCTATAAATGAGAAATCTAAGCATTTTCATCAATCAAATTGCAAGTTCTTTCCATAATAGCTCCATCAATAATTGGACTGCAGTAATAACTTTTATTCATTAATTGACTGCAAAATATTATCAATTGAAAGAAAATACGACCTCAAGCCTTTCTGGCATGCCACAATTAGATCTGTGTCTTTTGGGAATTTCTCTAGAACTTTTGTTAAGAATTGCCTGTAGAGAAGTGAATAATGAAGGGATTATTTATGTAACATAAGGACAATAATGTAATTACGCTAAACGGACGAGTAAGGATGGGTTGTAGCGTACTTATCATAGGACAATGTAGGGACACCACTCCACCATCCTCCTAGAAAACACACATTATATAAAAATTATTAATTCAAACCAGTTCCAGGGAATCCATTGTAATGTCTAAAAAGCAATGTAAATGAACAGTAACACGTCAAAATAAGTCTTTAGACATTGATGACAAAGATGATTGCTGTCTTCTTTGTTTTACTTCCTCTGCCCAACTTTCTACGTCTTTTGGATTTGAAAATTAGGTAATAACTTTGATGACATAAACAAGGGCAATTTCAAGGATATACACCGATAAAAATGGTTTCTAGCAGAATTACGAAATTCTACAGTTGATATTTCAGTACCCATCATGAATTCTGTGACCTTCCTTGAAAGGGTCCCAGCATCAAAACTGTTATCAACATCAAATATCGGGATCCAGGTAGAGCCTTTGACCCATGCCTATAATAAAATGACAACTATTTCAAAGAAAAATCAACATAGGTACCAACGAACAAAAAGGGTACATTTGCCTTTCACGTCTCACCAGAAAAAGTTAAAGCATCCTCACCTTTTGACGCTCAGTAGTGGGGCGAACATCAAGTAAGGTTTTACTTGAGAGTTGGATCGCATATCCAGCTTCTCTAGGTGTTAGAACTTTAACTTTCCCGTCCCTGACCTATGAAAGAACAAATTAAATAATAGACTAAAGCAAACCTGGTCTTCTTCAATGGCCAGAACAATGAAAAACAAAATTCAAATATTTAAGAGACTCCTATCTCCAGAGGTAAAAATTGGCTGAAAAACGAACTTCATTTTTATATCCAAACAAAATACTGTTTCATCAGGGTCTGAAGTAGAAATATAAGTATAATGCAGTTGAGTTTACTTACTTTTATCACTAGTAAAATCTTATTCCAGAAAATATAAAAGAAAATACCAAAAAACTAACAAATATTAAGAATACAACATTGTACAATTTATTATTTTCCCATTCATAGATTAATATTTTATGCACCTTAATTTTTCATTAGAATTGTGCATAAATTAAGATCATATAAAAAGCCTCAAGCCGATCAATAGTGCTTGAATGAAGTAGATTATCTCTTCCCATATTGAATAACAAAACAGAGAAGCAATATGATTTTTCCATATTATCAAACATAAACATCTCTGATATGAGAAAGAGGTGATGGCTCAAACATGGAGGTAAATTTCCCATGAATACCCAAAATCAAACACCTTCTATAGAGGTACTCACACAATAAAATCAAATAGTTTAGAACACGTATACATGATCAAACTAAAACTTAGTGCCACGACGAAAGATCAAAAATCTGCAAATTCTTTCCCGAAAAAGCTCCCGCCATGGCTTCTTTCCTAACAATTTTTCACGGTTTTCGTGCATGTGCACGTGTTGTATCATTCGACTCCAGGTTCTTGCTGATAAATTTCTTAAGCTGGGATCAATTTCTATCTTATCTCTAACTGCTAGAGGCTCTAGAAATGACTTCTTTGGTTCATAAAATTCCAATGTCTTTCATCAAAACAACAAAAATTCTAGACTACAAAGAAACCCCAAGAACCCAGATTCCATTTAGACTATTGATTTCTTCACATGAAGTTGATTAAAAATTGTACTCTTGGCAGCTTTATGTCAGGCAGAGTTGTTTTTTCTTTTTCTTTTTAAAATTCCAATGTCTTTCATCAAAACAACAAAAATTCTAGACTACAAAGAAACCCCAAGAACCCAGATTCCATTTAGAATATTGATTTCTTCACATGAAGTTGATTAAAAATTGTACTCTTGGCAGCTTTATGTCAGGCAGAGTTGTTTTTTCTTTTTCTTTTTTTTTTTTTTTTTTTGGGTGATAGTGGAAAAGTTTGACTGATAAGTCACCCTTACTGCCATTCTTAACACCATTTACACATCGCAAGACAATATGCACATCAAATATTAGTTTTTTGATCCCACAAAACACTAGAGCTCCCAATTCTTCTTTTGTATAATCTACAAATATAAATGACTGAATATAAAATTCTTGTAGTAGAAGTATCACAATAAAGAGAGAGAAGAAAAATACTAGAGCCTCCCATCTCTTTCTAGCAGCAGTCATATCTTTCATTTGCTTCAACTCGTACTCTTCTTTAACAGCTTGCATTCTTATGTCACTCCTACACTGAACTAAACCCACAAATTATAACTCTAAAATATGTCAGAAAATTTACTCAAATAGTGAAATAAAAACACCTATAAATGAAAAATCGAAACTTATATATACGTTTTGCTTAATTTTGTGCGTATAAAAAGATGGGCATGAAGAATTGGACAACCGGGTCGAGCCCGAAACATTCTTCAATATCTTTGGCCTCTGAGAGATGCTGAGAAGGGGATGAAATCCCAAAGCTTCCATTTTTGGGGAATATGGTGCACAGTATGAATTGATGTATATCTTTATTGATTTTGTTTCTACGAGTATCTGTGCTTATCTTTGGCTTTGGAATTGGATAGTGTTTGTGAACGAATTTTCCTTTTGTTTAAACTTATGTGTTTTTTTCAAAATAATTTCAACATATTCTTTAAAAATTCATTTGTTCTTAAATTCATATATTTATATTTTTTTTCAAACAAAATAGATAGACAGAACTACAATTTTTTCATTCAAAAAAATTACAATTTTCTGAAAATGTTGCAATTGTTCTAACTTAAAACAATGTAAAACTAGCATACAAGAAATGCAAAGATTAAAAAGACACATTACTTGAAACAAATTATGTGGAGACAATATATTAAACTTTAGAATTCTAATATAGCTCAAGATTGTCGCTTCTTACTTTCAATATTGAACATTGTGACACATTTGAGACAAGAAAACAGTGTGCAAATCACCAAGGGAAGATGGGAAAATTTCGAGATAAAAATCTTATAATTTAAGAAAAGATAAAGATGTCTGTACTAAGGGGGTGTACCGCAGAGTTGTTTTTTCTTTTTCTTTTTCTTTTTTTTTTTTTGGGTGATAGTGGAAAAGTTTGACTGATAAGTCACCCTTACTGCCATTCTTAACACCATTTACACATCGCAAGACAATATGCACATCAAATATTAGTTTTTTGATCCCACAAAACACTAGAGCTCCCAATTCTTCTTTTGTATAATCTACAAATATAAATGACTGAATATAAAATTCTTGTAGTAGAAGTATCACAATAAAGAGAGAGAAGAAAAATACTAGAGCCTCCCATCTCTTTCTAGCAGCAGTCATATCTTTCATTTGCTTCAACTCGTACTCTTCTTTAACAGCTTGCATTCTTATGTCACTCCTACACTGAACTAAACCCACAAATTATAACTCTAAAATATGTCAGAAAATTTACTCAAATAGTGAAATAAAAACACCTATAAATGAAAAATCGAAACTTATATATACGTTTTGCTTAATTTTGTGCGTATAAAAAGATGGGCATGAAGAATTGGACAACCGGGTCGAGCCCGAAACATTCTTCAATATCTTTGGCCTCTGAGAGATGCTGAGAAGGGGATGAAATCCCAAAGCTTCCATTTTTGGGGAATATGGTGCACAGTATGAATTGATGTATATCTGTATTGATTTTGTTTCTACGAGTATCTGTGCTTATCTTTGGCTTTGGAATTGGATAGTGTTTGTGAACGAATTTTCCTTTTGTTTAAACTTATGTGTTTTTTTCAAAATAATTTCAACATATTCTTTAAAAATTCATTTGTTCTTAAATTCATATATTTATATTTTTTTTCAAACAAAATAGATAGACAGAACTACAATTTTTTCATTCAAAAAAATTACAATTTTCTGAAAATGTTGCAATTGTTCTAACTTAAAACAATGTAAAACTAGCATACAAGAAATGCAAAGATTAAAAAGACACATTACTTGAAACAAATTATGTGGAGACAATATATTAAACTTTAGAATTCTAATATAGCTCAAGATTGTCGCTTCTTACTTTCAATATTGAACATTGTGACACATTTGAGACAAGAAAACAGTGTGCAAATCACCAAGGGAAGATGGGAAAATTTCGAGATAAAAATCTTATAATTTAAGAAAAGATAAAGATGTCTGTACTAAGGGGGTGTACCGAACCGTTTACACCCCCTCGCAAACATGCGGGCCCCATGTGTAATTTAATAATCCGAATTGAGGTTCCACCCAAATGACGTGAATAGTAGGTAAAGTATTATGTAAATGATTATGTACGTGTAGCACGATCCTTTAAAAAAAGTCATTCCTCTCTAATAATTTCTCTTCCATTAGCCATAGTCATAGGAGTGGCCGTTATTTCTAAATACTCGTTCTATCCTTTTTCTTTTCTTTTCTTTTCTTTTCTTTTCTTTATGCATTTCAACATATTTTTTCATCTTTTTAACCATATTTTCTGGAAAAAAAAAAGAAAATTATTTTTCACAAAATTTCCACCACACATGTACTTGCAAGGATATATGAATTAAAGTAATTAGTTGGGCCAGGCTGTAAAAGAGTTTGATCAGCCCTCATTGGTAGGGGTCACTAATTGGTCTGGGCCTACAACTGACCGTTAAGTTTGGGCCTTATTTCAGTGAAATGACCAAATGTAATAGTAACACCATAGAATCAACTTTATTAAGAATTTAGGAATCACAATGGAACAAGATTGAAAAAGAGGATTCCTCCACGTCTTCCACTCCATTGGATATGATCTTAGGCCAGCATAGCTAAATCATAATTGAAAAATGGTGGACAAATTAGCTACACGTAGCGAAACTAGTCGCAAAAAATAAATAAATATACTGATAAGTGTGTTTTTGCACACTTATTTAGATTACAAACATGACTTAAATACAAGCAAAATGATTGAATTGTGACTTAATCTCATTGAATTCATGCAATGTAGGTGTTTCTATGGAAATAGTGGAATTCAGGAGAAGAGAGCCGAAAAAGGACTAAAATGAATTAAACTGAAAGTTTGGGGACCAAGTTGCAAATAATTCATAGATGAGACGGGAAATGGAATGAAGATTCAAGAGTGTTAGAAGTCAATCGGATGAGGAAAGGAGTCACGAGGTGAAATAGGGTCAAAGTATTATCAAGTATCAACTTTCAGGCGAAAAAGCCATGCTCGTGATTTTTAGTATCTACTTGAGATCTTTTTTGACATAGTAAATATCAGAATTTGAGGAAGCCTATTTCTATCAAAAGTGTAGATCTTTGAGTTTTCTTCACAATGCACTTTGAATCACTTCAATCGGAGATCAGGAGAGAAAATTATGACCAAAATACTAAAAGCTGTCCAGCGGAAAGAATTGTATAACTATGCGGTCACATAGTATAAATTCTATGCGGTCGCATAGAAGCCTCCCGAGAACTTTTTCTCAAATTTTTTTAATCTATGCGACAGCATAGAAATGTACTATGCGGTCGCATAGGTATAATCTGGGGGCCGTTTTGCAGTTTCCTTATACGATTGAAACTCCTTTGGTAACCTAATTTCCACGCGATTTAAATACGAAAGAACGTCCAGAAGAAGGAGAGAACGTAATTGGAGGCACAAAAACACAATTTTGGAGGATTTGGAGGGGAAGAACAAGGCAAAAACAAGGCAATCCACTTCAAGATTCAAGATTTCACTTCAAGAATCA